GAAACTGGGAGGAGTGAGGGGCAGCCCGGAGCCGCCCCTCGACACAGGGGACACAGGAAGGTCCGGGTCCCGAAGGAAGGGGAGGGAGAGACCGGGGAAGACCAGAGACAAGGACACGGGAAGCCATGCCCCGAAGACGAGGCAAGGAGGGGTGGCCAAGACGGTGGTGCCACAGGAGAGTCTCCTGAGACAGGCGGCGACACGAGCAGGGGGCAGACTCAGGACCAGACCTGGACGCAGCAGCAAACACCTGACCCGACGCAGCTACCTGGCCAGACGCAGGGACAGGAGGAGACTCAGTGGTCAGGGTGTAGAGACTCGACCCCGGCCGACGCGAAAACGTGGCCAGGTGTCGGCCTGTGCGGGCGTCCGAGCAGTGGGTCACCCGCTGACTCGCAGGAGTAAACTGGTGAACCCCCGCATCCTGCAGGTCAGCACCACTCACCAAGTTCGTCGAGAACGAGGGGAGGTACAGACCAGACAAGGTGCCCGAGGGGGCAGCCGGACACGGGAGGACAGTGGAGAAGTGAGAGAGGACAGGACCCCCAGAGGGGTCAGCCAGGGAGACTGCAACCGGCCGGCCAAGCGGCGTGAGTGTGGTGCGGTCTCGAAAGAAGGAGCGAGAAGCCCCTGAGTCAAGCGTGAAGGTGAGGGAGGCCGAAGCCGACGCAGTACCTGAGAGCGCAGCCTCACCAGTACCTGAGAGTGCAGACGCACTGGCACCTAGAGCAGCAGCCGCAGAAGTACCTAGCGCAGCAGTACCAATGCCCGGGTCGGGCGGGAAACACCGGTAACAGTCACCCTCCTCACTAATAGTCACAGCATACATGGCAGCAAGGATAGCATCAAAGTCAAGATCAAAGATAGCTACGCCAGCCCTAGACAGCTCTCCCCAACAGGGAATCTCACTAGCCTCGGGGAACTGCTGACGCCAAGCGTCCGTCAGGCGGCCAAAGCAGCGCTGGGTGGGGTGGGCACCCCCACACTGCTCACCCGCGCGGTCGCCGGAACGAAGGACGTAGGTGCACGGACCAAAACCCCCACCCCGCTGACGCTGCGTGTACCACTCACGGAGCTGCTGGGGCGGGGGGATGTCCCGCGAACGCTGCTGCTGCTGCTGCTGCTGACGCTGGCCACCACCAGAGCCGCTACGCTGCGGGGCACCACCCCGACCAGTTCCACCCCCTCCGCCACCGCCGCCTCCACCTCCACCACCACTGCTGCCTCCGCTCCCACCGCTGCCGCCACCACCGCCTCCTCCTCCGCTGCTGCCACCGCCACCACCGCCCCCGCCACCACTCCCACCGCCACCCCCACTCCCTCCGCCGCCTCCACCGCCACCTCCACCGCCCCCGCCAGTTCCACCCACGCCCTTGCCCCCCTTGCCCCTGCCAGGGCGGCGTCTCCCGCTAGGGGCAGACGCCGCGCAGACCGACTCAAGACCAAGCAGGTCGGCAGCAGCAGCAGAGGCAACAGAGGGCAGCAGGGGGGAAGGAGAACACCCCTCAAAGATGGGGGTGCGAGGGTCACCACGAGAGGCTCCTACAGCGACGATGCTCTTCTCCGCCGCCAGGAGGGACTTCTCGAGGAGGTCGACAGTGAGAGTGGTGGGACAGACTGAGAGGAAGTGGTCCCTGACTACGCGAAGGGAGTCAGGGAGGCGTGTGACTATGTAATAGAGAGTGATGTACATGGGGGGGGGGGTTCTTGGCGCAGAACTCAGCAGGAAGGGCGGCACGGTAGCGAGTGTCACTAGTGCGGAGGTGCGTAATGAGGTCAGCGACAGTGGGAAAGGCAGCAAGGTCAGGAAAGAGGTACGGTAGCATGAGGCGGCTCAGGGCAGCAGTGGCAGGGGAAGAGTAGCGCGCAACTACAGCGTCGTACAAGGTCTGAGCACTCTTGTACTGACTAAAGTGCGCGCGCTCAGTGGTAGGCAGGTGGCGACGCACAGCAAGACGTGCAGCAGCATCGCGGGTGGCCCACTGAGAGCGAACAGTGGGGTCAGCATCAGCAGCAGGGGCAGGAGAGGCGCCAGAGGTGAGGTCAAAGAGGGAAAGACCGTCCGCCCTATCGCACTGTAAGAACAGCTGCAGGTCGTCGACCCAGACCTCAAAGTCAATGGCTCGACCCTCAGCGTCAAAAGCGAGGACACTAGGGGTAGCCATGACGACGACAGTGTAGTAGTGCAAGCAGTAGGGGAAGGGCACGCAGTAACAGTGGTGCTGTGCTCACCATGCAGGGCAGGTCGGGCGGCTCGGCAGTAGGGCGGCCCGGCGGCTGAGCGGCTCGGCGGCTCGGCTGCTGGGCGGCTCGGCTCCCGGGCGGCTCGGCGGCAGGGCGGCTCGGCGGCAGGGCGGCTCGGCGGCTCGGCTCCCGGGCGGCTCGGCGGCAGGGCGGCTCGGCGGCAGGGCGGCTCGGTTCCCGGGCGGCTCGGCTGCTGGGCGGCTCGGCGGCAGGGCGGCTCGGCGGTCGTAGGCGGCGGGGCCGGTGAGGATAGGCGGCGGGGCCGGTACCGTAGGCGGCGGGGCCGCGAAGTGGGGCGGCGGGGCCGCGTAGGTGAGGGCGGCGGGGCCGCGAAGTAAGGGCGGCGGGGCCGCGACGTGAGGGCGGCGGGGCCGCGAAGGTGAGGGCGGCGGGGCCGCGTAGGCAAGGGCGGCGAGGCCGCGACGTGAGGGCGGCGGGGCCGCGACGTGAGGGCGGCGGGGCCGCGTAGGTGAGGGCGGCGGGGCCGCGTAGGCAAGGGCGGTGGGGCCGCGACGTGAGGGCGGCGGGGCCGCGACGTGAGGGCGGCGGGGCCGCGTAGGCAAGGGCGACGGGGCCGCGACGTGAGGGCGGCGGGGCCGCGACTTAAGGGCGGCGGGGCCGCGTAGGTGAGGGCGGCGGGGCCGCGACGTGAGGGCGGCTGGGCCGCGACGTAAGGGCGGCGGGCTCGCGTAGGTAAGGGCGGCGCAACGGGCCGCTAGGGGCGACACGGAGGGTCGCTAAAAAAAAGGAAAGCGCGCCTCGGGGCGCGCTTCGGTGGGCCCTAGAAACAGTCCCTAGGAGGGGACCTGCTCTGATTCCATGTGAAAAGGAGAACGCGAATGGATGAACTATGAATGAAGTGAGTACATATAGGAAACCCTAATTGGGTTGTACCCCCTATGGGATACCCCACTATAGCCTACACAACAGCATAAGCTATATAATGTTCTGACACCATCTGCGACCATGCACGCAGCTTCATGCGAGGTTGCTCCGAGGCGGATACGTGCTCGAAGCGATCTCGTAACGCTGCGCCCCACTCCTTCCACGTGCGTATCTTGGTCACTCCGAAGATCGATTATGCCACTTGATTAGTTACTGTTGAGGTCCCGTCTGCCGCATGCGTCACACCTGTCGGGGTCCCCGTTTCCAAGGCCCGGCGCCACCACTCAAGCGCTGCGCCTCGAAGTAGCGAAACCACGTAATTAATACGCGTGGCATCGTCGTTCACACCTGCTGCAGTAAAAAAGACCTCAACACCGAACAACCACCCCTTCACTGTAGTCGTTTTGTCCGTATGATTAAACGGGGGTGGGTTGACGGGTTTAATCTTGATCGTCGTTACTGCAACTGGCGCTACTGCCGCTCGTTGCCTGTCCTCCTCTTCGAAGTCACGTGTGAGAGCGTCCAAAGGGTTGCTCACCGCTTGACTGTTGCCCTCGCCTTCGTCATCGGGCGACTCCTGGCGCGCATGAAGTTTCTCGCGACAACACTGGATGGCTGCGACGTACTGCCGGGACGTGATTGGCTGCGACGACACAACCCCGTCATCGACTGGATAACGGGATCGTGCAGCATCAACAAGCACGGGGGGCTAATTAAGTTGCCTGCATGGACACCTGACTACATCCAAGCCCCGTGCGTCAAAGCTATCATTATAGCTCGCCACTTCAACAAGGGCGCGCAGCTGTTTGCTGTTTGCTTACGCGAGTTGGCAGTTGACACCGACGGAAAAGACATCGAGAAGCTGTGTGCAGCTGTACCACCGGATTTAGCGGAGCTGATTCGGCGCTACCCCGACATTTTCTCCGACGACCTGCCACCTGGACTCGCGCCTGGCGTAGCTCGGCGTTTTCTCCACGCAGTGTTGTCACTTCCGCCATTAATGACTTCATGCCCTCCTGCATCTCTGCCACTTGTGCCATCAGCTTGTTAACCGCCTCCTGATCCATGTGCCTAGCGCTACGTCTGGTGGGCAATCGGGTCTCCGTGGCCTTCAGGCAAATGAAAACACGAACTATCGGAGTCGGGCAGGATTGAATTAACAATCCCTGCAGCCAACCGTCGTGTAGTCACTAAACCAGCCACATCCGTGCCACCAAACTACCCTCGGAAAAGCGGGGTGAACTAGGAAAGTAGCTCTGATACCAGGTGTTATGAGTTGTAAAAGAGAGTGCGCAGGTAAACGAATAACGAGACTGTGATTCAATGAACTGAGAATACAATGAAGGCACAGACTAATGTAGGCGCTAGCCTAGCTAGGAGGGAACCTCGGACGAGCGAGGTTGGGTGCAGGTTTGGCGATGGGAAATGCCGAAGGCGACGCGAGGAGCCTCGGCAGCGTTGAGATCGGCCGAACGTGCAGAGTCCGAAAATTGGGGCTGTACGCGAAGCAGTCAACCCCGATAAGGAATTCGGGAAAATTCCTTACACAACCTTTATACCGTAACAGGTAGGGTATCCAGTCGTACGGAAACGCGTCAAACCCCTACAAAGGTGACAATGCGATTCCTTGCATCACCAAACGCCTATCGTCAAGGATTGCCCGACACAGTCCGGCTGGTACTGTAGTCTCGACGAAAGTTTTGCGAGATACAGTAGTAGTAACCCTAAAAGAATCCGTACAGTCGCAGGAAAACAGGACCATCTCACATGCTCCAAAGCCTATCACTCCACCAGCCGAAACCAAACTACTTCCCCAGTGTCCACCTTATAAGCGGTCCTTATCACGACTCTTGTAGCGAAGCGAGATGACTATGGACGTCAGCAATGGCGGCGACGGCATCGGCGTTCCCAAGGATTCGGCGGTGGTGGCCATGGAGGACGTGTCGTTCATATCGGAGCCGCACATGCACCGCGCCGCCCTCGCCATTATCGCCCTCGGCGGAACCACAGCCTTCGCGCTTAGCCTCGCCGCGCAGTTCACGCGGATATCGGTACGCGCGCCGTTGCATTGTCCGATGAAAGAGCTTAGGAATAGCGGGATGCCAGCGACCTCGAGCTTCATTTACGCGGCGCTTGTTTTTTCTTTAATACGATTCGAACTTTACGGCTAGGTCGTTAATGGAAGGGGCATCGCCCGTGGCCATCGCTGTGACCATCGCTGTAAGTAGAAGGCGCTTTACGACCAGTTACCCATCGCCATAACCACACGCGCTGGATGCCGCTTGCATTCTTCCTCTCTCCCGTGCAATGTCTCGCCTCTCTTTCTCTCGCTCCCATTTCACCGTTTCTCGTACCGTCCGTCCGTCCGTCCGTCCATTCCGTCCGCGCATCACGCATTGGTCGCTCTTCGCGTTCGCTCCTCGAGGCGTAACCCTCCATTCTTCCCGACTACCTCTCAACATCGTCCCGCCCGTTCTCTCCCCTCTCCCCCTCCGCATTCCACCGCACAACACTCATGCCGGCCTTCCTGCTCGCCGCTATTTCTTCATCGAGCCGCATATCGCGAATGCCGTTCCGCACCATCCCGTCGCATCCATCACTCCTCCAAACTGCCCCCCTCCCTCCCCATCCCCCCTCCCCCCTCCCCATCCCTCTCCCATTTTCCCCGTCTCCCTCCCCCGTCCTCCTCCCTTCTGCCCTTCCCCCCCCGCGCTCCCTCGCGCCGGCCGTCGCGTGCAGACGTATTCGATTTTGACGAATCCATGGGGCGCGCTGTACTGCAGCTACCCGCCCTCCGCGGCCACGTGGCTGGCCGTTGCTGCCATCTTCGTGCTGCTCTTCACCGAGGTCAGTCCTTCCCTTCCCTTCCCTTCCCTTCCCTTCCCTTCCCTTCCCTTCCCTTCCCTTCTCGCACGTTGCGTTGCGTTACACTGCTCTCGCATGCGGCAACCCTTGCCTAAAAAGAGAAGAAGGGAGCGAGGGAAGAGGTATCCTTACTTAACCCACCGACCCCCCCATCCCCCCCCCCCTTTCTCCCCACTCTTCCCCAACCCCCCCCTAATCCATTCCCTCCCCTTCTCCTCGTCCGCGCTCCACCCCAGGCGTTTACTCTGCTGACGGGCGGGTCCACGTGGGCGCGGCCGCTGTTCACGCGCCATGTGGGGCGCGGGGAGATGGCGCCCACTGTGGGCCGCCGCTCCCACCTGCAGCTCGCTCTGCTGGTCTTCAACATGTCAGTCGCGCCGGGAGGTGGAGGGGGAGGGGAGAAGGGGGATTGCTGGGAGGACGGGTGGTTTGAGGATGCTTTGTGGAAGGTTTGGGGGATGGGGATGGGAAAAAGGGGAAGTGCGCGGGTGCGAGCAATCATTGGCACGTGGCACATGCATGCATGCATGCTTGGACTCCTGGCTGCTGCTTGCTGCCTGTCCATATGACCACGCCCTTGTGCTCTTACCCAAATGCGTTTGCAGGAGCACTCTCTCCACCCACCCACCCAAAGCATCTCACTTCGCCCTTCTCCCTTTCCTGTTCCAGTCAGCTCCCGTCCTCTCCTTCTTCTATTGCCGAGGTTGGATTTCCCCACGCTGCCTGTCTATCTCCTTCCACGTGGCTTTCTTGCATCCCTTCCTCTCATCACTCCCCATCCCAGCATACGTCCACTCCTGCCCCCCTCCTCGGCCGCCCTTCTCCCTCTCAATCGCATGTCTCTTTTCCCCTTCCAACCAGCCTTCCCCCCGCGCTCTTCCCCCCTCTCCACCTTTTCCCATCATCCCACCCCCCCTCACGGCCACACATCTACATCCGCACGCCCTCCCATCCCGCTCTCCCTGCAGCCTCTTCTTCCTTGCATCCGAAGGGCTCCTGATCGCAGCGGCCGTGGAGAATTCGTTCCACATCTCCTCTGTACCATACTCCACCGACATCAACACCATCATGTACTGCAGCACCGTCAACGAGGCCGTCTTCATCTCTGCGGCTGTATTTGCTGCGTTCTCCGCTGTTCTCATGGTTGCTTATTACATTCTGGCGATCAAGGCGAGCCAGGATACGTGGCTGCGGCACTATGAGCCCGCGCCTATGGTGGTCGATATGGAGGCGTTTGGCAGGGACGCTGCGCGGACCACTGTTGCGAGTATTCACGGGGAGAACGTGGGGGGCGGGAGGAGTGGGAGGAAGGGCGGGAGGAAGGGGGGGAAGTCGGGGAAGGGCGGGAGGAAGAAGGAGAGTGGGAGTGGGGAGGGTGGTGCGGAGGCGGCCGGTGGGGATGGTGGTGAAGTGTCGGTGCGTCGTGTGGCGTTTGCCACACCGCCGGCGAACTGAGGATGGGCGGCCGAAGAGGACGGGTCAACGTCAAGCTGACAGCCGGGGATGAAACGGGAAGAAATGTTGCGATGCGTGGGGCAGTGGTGTGGTAGGCAGGATGCGGCCCTGCCACACTCTTGCATGGCTGCACCGACTACTGGTAGTCATGCGCTGCATGGTGGAAGAAGTGGGAGGCGTGGTGGGGGGTTGGTTGGGATGCGAGAAGAGTAGAAAGAAGGCGGGGCATGACCATAGGGTTTATATTATGTGGGCACTACACTGGGTTGAGTTAGGTTGAAGGGTGGGTGAATGGGTGTGGTGTGGGCTGAAAGCACAAGGCAGAAGACATGATTTCTTTTTTTTGGTTGGCTTTTATTCAGGATCAATGAAAGGATGTACGTCTTGTGGTGATTCTGGGTGAGGTGTTGCCAGTGACATGTTAGAATCTTTAAAGCTGCAGTATACATTTGTCAGCCGGGTTTAGGGTTTTTATTGTGTGCCTCACAGCTTTGGGGCAACTTTTAAAATTTCAAAAGTTTTTGAACCCAACCTTTCAAATGTATACTGCAGCTTTAACTCTTATACCACTCTTCATTGTGTGCTCGACGACTGACTAGTAGCGAATTGTGAAACGCTCGATGAGGCGCAGGCGACCCAATCAACGCTTCACACGTGCTCTGCGTTTCGCCGCTCGCAGAGGTTGCGTGTTTCACCCTTTCCCTTCACTTACAGGGTAGTTCCTCCAGATAGGTTGACTGAGGTGCAGCACGATATTGCGGAGTGAAGGCCAAAGCTTTCATCTTACAGCCATTCAGACCATACCATCAGCATACCATCAGACCATACCATACCAAAGGTTCGACATCAAGCCAGTCAAATCGCACATATATCAGCAGCACTTGAATTTACGCTGTTTCTGTGGGGCGTCGAACGTGTGTGTTAGTTAGTCCGTCGTCAACCACTTGTGTTTAGTTGCGTGCCCCCTCCGCACTTACCGCGCGCGCACACGAGATTCGTCGGAACAGTCTGCGTGATCCACATGACCCGGATTATCCGGCCCCGCAATTCCCATGGCCGTCCTCCGCCCGCTGCAGCTGCCGCAACCGCCGCCTCAGCCGCCGCCGCAGCTGCCGCCGCAGCCGCCGCTACCGGCGTCGCAGGGAACGCTGCGGGCGTTAGTGGCTTAGGCGTCGCCAGGGGGTCTGTCGTCGCCGGAACGTCGTCGCACACAGGGGGTCAACCTGAGCCGTCGCAGGCGGTTGGCGAATCAGTTTTCCCCGTCGCAGGCAGGCCGGCGACCAACCCGGCGACTCAATCACAGGGATTGGCTCGAGTTACGGATTCGCGCGATTTAGACAGTCGCACGACAGCAGTCCGAGGAGGAGGAGATGTTGCAGGGGGGCGGGTTGCCAGCTCGTCGTCGTCCTTGTCGCAGGCACAGTCGCAGTCGCCGTCGCAGTCACCATCGCAGTCGCCGTCGCAGTTGCAGCCGCAGTCGCAGTCGCATGACCACTCACACTCGCGAAGCGGTGCTTCTGCGGAGTCGGGGCGAGGGAAGCAAGAAGCAGCGGCAGATGATAGAGACGATGGCGAACAAGTAGCAAGCGGCGGGAGAGGGAAAGCAGCGGATAGGGGAGTGGTCGAAGCGGAAACGGCGATTGGCGTGAGTGCAACGGGGGAGCGCACGGTTGGGGTGACGGGGGGTAGCAGAAAATGGGGAGAGGGGAAGGGGGAGGAGGAGGGAGCGCGAAGAGAGGAGGCGGGAGAGGTGAAAGAGGAGGGAGAGGAGAGAGAGGAGGGAGAGAAGGAGAGGGAGAAAAAGGAAGGGATCGAGCTTTCTGGTGCGGGACAAGAGGATGACGTCTGGTCTGGGAACGATGTAGCAGCAGGTGATGACGTGGAACGGGGAGTTTCCCACGTGTCAGACGATTCTGACGTGGCGGCAGCATACAGCCGCATGCTGCAACTGGTGTCGGAGCTACAGCATCCCATCCGCACCCACGTCAGCAGCAGCAGCGGCACAAGCAGTGCTGCTGAAGATGAGGGATGCGGGGAGAGGGGGAGGGTTGCAGCGGAATCCGCAGCAGCAACCGCAGCGGCACAAGAAGAAGCGGCAGCAGCGACAGCAGCATCAGCATCAGCAGCAGTAACGGCAGCAGCAGGAGTAACAGCAGCAGTTGCAGAAGGGACGGCATCAGCAGCAGAATTAACATCATCATCAGCAGAAATAACAGCATTAACTGAAGCAACGGAAGCAGCAGCATCAGGCGTGGGAGGACGGGCAGAGGATGGATGGAGAGGCGAAGGCGATGTCAGAAGCGGCAGCATTGGAGAAGGCGAGGGAAGGGGCGTGGCAGTACAAGAAACAGTTTATGATGTATCAGGCATTACTATCGGTGCGGCTCACCTTGCTGGCAGCAACCAGAACCAGAACCAGAACCAGAACCAGAACCAGAACCAGAACCAGGAGCCACCACCACACTGCAGCAGCAATACTGACGCTGACAAGCACCCTGCTTCTTGTGCTGGCGAACCGGCTAGGGATTCATCTGCGGTGAATCACTCCGTCACTGCTTCAACCTCACAGGGTCCCGTGCGTGCTTCTGCACATGAATCAGGTTTGTGTGTGTTGCTTAACCGGAGCACAAGCGGGGGGGGCAGTGCTGTTGCAAGCGGCGGTGCAGCAGCAGACGTGGCAGCAGCAGCAGCAACAGCAACAGCGACAGCATGTGGTGATGTGATATCAGCGATCTTCTCTTCCTCCCCATCCTCGTTACCAGCACCATCATCAGCATCACTCACGGCAGCAGCAGCAGCAGTGTCATCCCCTCCGCGTGCCATGTCCCCCAGCAGCCCACGGTCGGAGGGCAGTGAGGAGAGGGGGTACAACAGTGCAGACGAGTATGGCTCCCTACTGCCTCCGATTGCGTCTGCACCACCTATGCCTGCTGCCGCTGCTGCTGCTGTGCCAAGGGGCATGCAGGTGAACATTCGTTATTCCCTCTCGTTCCACCACTCCCTGCATGTTCCACCACGCACTTCCGGTTAGATTCCGTTTCCTTTTGTACACCCTGTCTTTCATTGCAGCTCCCCCGTTTAACCCCCACACTCCTCCATCTCTCTCTCCCTCTCTCCCTCTCCCTGCCCCAAATTCCTTCCTCACTTCGAGACGTCTTAAGAGTTAGTCTTTCCTCATCACATCCTCCACTCCACTCTCGCCTCGCCCTGCCGTCTTCTTTCAGTGTTCCTTCCCAACTCCAAACCCCCATTCCCTACCACCCCTCCCTCGCTACCTTTCCGGCAGCCCCCACCACACAACAAGCACCAGCAGCAACAACTCCAGCGGCAGCAGACTCACCAGTGTGGAGACAGGGGCGGGGAGGGGGCCGGGGAGGCGGAGGAGGCGGAGGAGGAGCGAGCGTTTGAGGCGCGGGTGTGGCGGGAGTGTCACCTGCGAGTGCACCGCATGGCAGCGGACGGCAACTGCTTGTTCCGTGCTGTGGCCCACCAGGTGCTGGGGGACGCTGCCTTTCATCGTGACCTCAGGCACCTGTGCCTGGATTACATGGTGCGTGCGTGTGCGTGGTTGGGGGGGGGTGTTTCTTGGGTGTGAGTGGGTGAGCCTGGTGGATGTATGGTGGGTTGGGTGGGGGGGGCTGCTGTGGCCCACCAGGTGCTGGGGGACGCTGCCTTCCATCGTGACCTCAGACACCTGTGCCTTGACTACATGGTGCGTGTGTGGGGGGTGGTGGGTGTGTGAGTTTGTTGGTGTGAGTAGCAGGTTGGAAGGTTTGGCGGGTGCGGCGCGGGTGTGTGGGGTTGCTGTGGCTCACCAGGTGTTGGGTGACACTGCGGCGCTGCCTTCCACCGCGACCTCCGGCACCGTGCCTGGACTACATGGTGCGTGGGCTGGGGTGGTGGGTGTTTGGAAAAGGGGAGGGGAGGTTGGTGGGTGTATGGTGCGTGTGGAGCGGGTGTGGGGGGTTGCTGTGGCGTGGCCCACCAGGTGCTGGACTGGACGATGCTGCCTTCCACCGCGACCTCAGGCACCGTGCCTCGACTACATGGTGCGTGTGTTAAGGGGTTAGGGGGAGTGTTTGTGGCGGGGCGGGAGGAGAGTGGGTGGCTGTGAGGTGCGTGCGTGTGTGATGTTGTGCTTGCTTCGCGTCCCTTGTGCCCGAGAGTACAGTACAGCGTGCACCGCTCTCTTCTCTATCCCCCGCGCCCCCACACTGCTCCGCCTGGCAGGAGAAGGAGCGGGACCACTTCAGCCAGTTTGTGACTGAGAGCTTCAGCGCATACTGCAAGCGCAAGAGGCGCGACAAGGTGCGTGCTCTGGGTGCAGGGAGGGAGGGAGGGAGATAGGAGGGGAGGATAGGCGGGGGGGTATAGGCGGGGGGAATAGGAGTGGGGAATAGGCGGGGGGGAAAGGAGGGGGGGATAGGAGGGGGGGATAGGAGGGGGGGATAGGAGGGGGGGATAGGAGGGGGGGATAGGAGGGAGCGAGATAGGAGGGGGGGATAAGAGGGGGGATATGAGGGAGGGTGATAGGAGGGGGTGATACGAGGGAGCGAGATAGGAGGGGGGGATAGGAGGGAGACAGGAGGGAGGGAGGTAGGAGGGAAGGAGGGAGAGAGGGGAGTGGACTGGGGGTGTTTGAAGAAGGTTGTTACCGGGGGGTTGTTACCGGCATAAGAAGGGAAGATGTTGTAGGAGAAAGTGTGAGATGATAGATGCTAGACACCTGATGCTAAACGATAGACGCTAATCCCAGTGGTACAGGAAGCGGGTGAGCGAGCGAAGATGTGGTCTCATGGTCGAATGGGCCATCCATGGCTGCTGCTTGCGTGCGTGCGTGCGTGCGTGCGTGCGTGCGTGCGTGAGTGCCGTGCATGCCCGTGTGTGCTCGCTCTCTCAGGTGCATGGTAACAACCTCGAGCTGCAAGCTCTAGCGGAGCTCTTCAACCGCCCCATCCACATCTTCTGCTACTCCACAGGTCCGTGGGTGGCTGTGGGGGGCTGTGGTTGCTTGGGGTATTCGGGTGTGTGCCGTTTTTTCCTTCTCCTCTCCCTAGTTTCCCCCCATCATTTGGTTCCTGGTCCCGCGCCCCCTTCCCCTTTCTCCCCCCCTCGCGCCTCTTCCCCCTATTCCCCTCCCCCCCGTTTCCCACCTCAACATATCCCATCCCCCACCCCCCCTTCCCCCTCCCTCTCATTGCCCATCCCCACCGCCCTGACAGAGCCGATCAACATCTTCCAGACGGCGTACGACTCGTCGCTGCCGCCCATCCGGTTGTCGTACCACCGGCGCCGCCACTACAACTCGCTCGTCGATCCCTCTCAGCCCAACACTGGCGTTGGTCTGGGGCTCAGCGCGCTGCAGGTGAGCTTCTGAGAATTCTCAAAAAGTCGCTGCCGCCCATCCGCCTGTCGTACCACCGGCGCCGCCACTACAACTCGCTTGTGGACCTCTCTCAGCCCAACACTGGCGTGGGGCTGGGGCTCAGCGCGCTGCAGGTGTGTGAAAGAAGGGTGGTTCTGAGACGTCTCAAAACCATCACTGGCGTGGGGCTGGGTCTCAGCGCGCTGCAGGTGTGCTAACACCGTGTGACAATGCAACGAGATGACTCCTGAGTCGACTCAAAAGTCCTCTCAGCCCAACACAGGCGTGGGGCTGGGGCTCAGCGCGCTGCAGGTGCCCCAAAAAGAGGGGGGAGAGGGAGAAGGTGGATGGATGGAAGGGATGTAAGGGGGCGTGAAGGAGGGAGGGAGGGAGGAGTGACTGATAAAGGGGTTAGGGAGTTTTCCTGGGCAATGGGAGAGGTAATCGTGTTAAGGGAGGCTGTATGAACCGTGCATGCTTGCATGTGTTGCTTGCATTGCACTTGCATTGCACTTGTAAGGGGAAGCTCTTCTATAGCAGGTATCTGAACAAGATTCACATGGTAAATGAGCTGCACTTGGGCAGCGGAGAATCTTGCTCTCAAAAAACATTTCTCTTTCTCTTTCTACACCGTGCCTCACCACACCACATCCCAATCCACCAAATCCTACTACTCCCCACCCATTCGCACCCAACCGCACCACGGCAGGGCGGGCAGGCGCCGCCATCAGCAGTGAAGCAGGCGATGCAGGAGCAGCAGGATGCAGTGGTGGAGCAGGCACTGGTGTGCGAGGCACAGGCGAGCTCCGACCGCCACCTCACAGAGGAAGCTCTGGAGCTCGCTGTTATGGAGGCCAGCTACAGGGAGTACGTGCAGCAGCAGCAGGAGGAGCAGCGGCGGCAGCAGCAGCAGAGGGGTGTTGCTGTATCCTTACCAGGCTATGTTCGGCCGCTTTGCCCCGTTCCATTACGTCCTCTGCCTGCTCCTGCCGCCCGCTCATCTTCTCCATGGCAATTCACCCCTCCGTCCTCGTCTGACCTGGATTTTCCACCATCATCATCGTCCTCCTCCTCCTCCTCCTCCTCCTCCTCCTCCTCCTCCTCTCTCCGGCCTCCTGCTGCTGCATGCGGTAAGTGCCCTGTGCTTGCTGCCTGCCTCGTGATTGGTTTTGTATGGGGTTTGTTTCCCCGTGTTTTTATTTTGCCGTACAGCACCCGTGCTTGCCTCCTTTGCTTGATTGTTTCGTTGCCTGCTCTTTCATGAGTATGCTTCCATGGCTGCAACTATCTCTGTGGTTCCACAACTCAGCACGTCTTTAAATCTTGATGAGAAAATGTGAAGTGTGTTTTTCTGTGTTGCAGCCCGGAATGCAGCAGCAGGAGCAGCAGCAGCAGCAGCTGGAACAGGAGCTTCCACCCCCTCCTCCCGCTCTCGCTCTCCCTCTCCTCCCACTGACCTGCTTCCACATCTTCCCTACTCCGCTTCACCTACGAGCAACCCCGGCACCACCACCAGCAGCAGCACTAGCACCCCGTTCGTTCCATCCACACCTGCACACCACCAGGATAACAGCCAATACTCACGCACCATGCCACCTCCTGCTGCTGTTGTTGCTGCTGCTGCTGCTGCAGTCGCAACGGCAGGCCCTGGTTGCAGCAACAACTGTAGCAGCAGCGGTGTAGACACTGGTTTGGGCAGTGGCAGCAGCAGCAGCAGCCGCAGCAGCAAGGCGGAATTGGCCACTAGTAGCAGCAGCAGCAGCAGCAACAATAGTGCAAGGACTAGCAACAGCAGCAGCGGCTGTAACCAGCAAGTCTGCAACGCATCGTCAGCGCCGCAGCCAACATGTGCCCGAATTCTTCTGTCCATGGGCTTTCTCGAAACAGCAGTGGCACAGGCTGTCAGCTTGTTTGGCGAGGACCTGGATTCGTGCCTGTGCTTTCTGCTGCAAATAGGGGCTGAGACACATGCCACTGCGAGGCAGGCAGATGAGCTTGATCGCAAGGGCAAGGCAGCACAATAGGCTGCTACAGTATGGTGGTTTGGTACGTAGTGAGCACTAAGGTACACGAGCACTTGCGTGCAGCAGAATCTGGCACTTGTACTAGGTACCCTGCACACATATGTTACGACAACGTAAAGCCGATGTCAGTGAAGCACTCGGATAGGCAGCACAGGCGTTGGGGGTGCTGTGCATTGGGGTGTGGTCAGTATGGAAGGCAAGCTCTCAAGGGGTACCGTATGGTATGGATACTGCAGCTTGTTGTACATAAGAAAAGCAATGTGTGTGTTCCGATAAAGCCCAAGCAGAGGCAGCTTCATTGTTTGTGGACAATTGATTCGATTAGTTGCAGGAGTAATGATGGTATAGGGGCCACGTTTGATTACACTTGCAGTGCATGTACCGGGATGCACGCCGTGCCACCGAAAATATGCGGTAACCGCTGCCTGAAATGTTTCTAACCACCACATGTGGTGGCGTTGGATGATTACGTGCTGCGCCTGTCCTGGGATCTAACGCCTCAATATGAGGTGCATCTGAACTGTAGATGTCTGCAGCTCTGGTTGCTCTCCACTGAAGGTCTTCTGACAGTATATTGGGTGATTGTGGTGGTGTCCATGTATTCCGTCACTTATAGCACCACAAGCAAATGGTATCATTACATAAAGAGGCAAGGATCCACTTCAGAGATTATCTATGCATTCACACTAGAATGCAACCCAGGGTAGTGTGACGAATAATGATTGTGCCATAAAACTCCACCGATAAAATCTGCAGTAGTGTACACGTCTCTACAAGACATCCACCAATTACTTTTTCAGGATTCCGCCCTTGTTCTCCAGATTCCATCCCCCTTGTTTGTTTCTCCCTAGAACCTGCCGTTAGCTTTCCCTGACACCCTCGCCTGACCCATTGGGTGCTGCTGCAGCAGCATCACCACCCATGGCAGCCATTTCCTGCTGCGGTGGCGGGTTTAGACTGACCCCCTCGTCCAGTGCAGGCAGGCGGATCACCATCTCCCTGTGCTCCTGGCACAGTGCACATGGGTGCAGGATGCAGTGCACGCAGCACGGGTCGCACGGTGCGTTCTGGTTGGTTAAGAAAGGGGGGAAAGGGGACAGGTGGGAGGAACGAGGGAGGTGAGAGTGTGGGGGAGAACCGTGGGAGTGCGGAGAGGAGGTGGGCGGGGGCAGCAAGATGGAAGGGAGGGGATTTGAGGGGACGCGAGGGATCCGAGTGAATGGGAGGGAAGAAGGGGCGATGAAGGGGGATGAGACGGGGTAAGAGGAGAAGAGAGGGGATGGCTAGGGGTGAGAGGGATGGGAAGGATGCGAGGAAACGAAATGTGGACAATTGAGAAAAATGACGGAGGGAGGAAAGCTGCGAATAATATGCACAAGTGGGTCCTGAGGGTGGAACACAATGGCGCAGGACCGAGGTCACAATGGTGGCAGGTCAGAGAAAGTTTCGAGACGTCTCAAAACAATATGAACAAGTGGGTCCTGAGATGGGCCCAAAGGGCGGAATACATTGGCGCAGGAAGGAGGTCACAATAGTGGCAGGCAGGTTAGAGAAAGGGCCGAGCTTGCAGTATTCAACTGTCATCAAGATTCTTCTTTAGATTCTCCTTCTTGTGTTGACATCATGGTTCGATAACCTCTGTTACTACTTGTTCACTCAACCTAGTTCTCCGCTGTCCATTCCTCTACCCCCCCTGTCCGCCACACTTTCCACAGTCCTACCCCACAGCCCTTTTCCCTCCCAGTCCTACCCTCTCAACTTCCAAACCAAGCCCCTCCTTTCCACCACGCGTCTTCCTTACCCTCTCCGCTCCCTTTCCACCCCCTTCCCCCCCTTCCCCCGCCCTTCCTCGCCCTTCCCCGCCAGCACACACCTTGAGGTGGTATTTCTTCTGCAGCTCTTGTCGGAAGAGCCCCGTGTAGATGCCGCACATCCACCACGAGAAGAAGAGGGTTTCCCCCAGCAGGAAGAGCGTCTGCGGGTCCAGCGTGATGTACGCGGGGCAGCACAGCAGCGCCGTGCCCAGCGCCACGCCGCCCTCGATGCACAGCACGTGGCACGCGCACGCCGCCGACCACGGGATGTCGTCGCGTATTGCCTCCACGTTCTTTCCGAAGAGGACGCACGGGCAGAACAAACCTTGGATACCTGGTGTGGGGCGCGTGGGGCGCGTGGGGGACATGGGCAGTGTGGGGAGCGTGGGATCGGAGAGGTTTGAAGCCGATGAAACCTCGTGTGGGAAGGACAGGGGATGAGGGGTGCAGGAATGGCAGCGACGGTAGATCCCAGGGCGTCACAGAGACAGCAGATCGGCATGACTGGGAGGAAGGCAAGAACGAATCAAGGAGTGCGCCTGTCGCATGGACGCCAACGTCACGGGACGAAAGAAGGCTCACGGCACGGTACGTACAGCTGCGTTGATCCTTGAAGCACGCGAATATGCCCGTGCTCCACGGCTCGTCTTGAGGTGGCTCGTACGACTGCGGCAGGATTTGGCCGCACTCGAAGCACCGCTGCACATCCAGCTGTAGTGATGAGAAGAGGAAACGGGGATCGGACGGCGAGTAAACGTACAGGTTAGGTGGAGAATGGAGATGGATAAGGGCACAGATTTTTTGACAGCAATCTACAGCATCGCAGAGCCTTTCAGGATGGTCAAAAATCAATATCCATTCTATTCGTGCTTGCATGTGACCTTGATTCATACGTGTGCTATAACGATGACCAGCTATGTGTGTTCCCGTTCGACGGTTATTCGGAAGACCTTGAATTGCCTCAATTGGGTCAACATCCCTAAACATCTCAAGTATGACCATTACCAGCACACCGAAACGGAGATCGGAACCTCCTGAAGGGCCCACCCAGTGGACAAGACCACTCAGTGATCAACAAAGAGCAACGATAAGTTGAGAGCACCGGTGCATCCGAGGGAGCACGGTGCACCGGACGATTTTGAAGCACCTGTGGAAATCGCTAGGAGTATGGCGTACCTGCGGGACCTCCACGGGTTGGCTGAGCTCGCCGGGCTCCGTGTCTGGTTGGTCCGTGATGTACTCCTTCTTCAGCTTCACGTACTGCGACGGATTCGATGCGTCCGATGACATTTTGACCGATCTCGCTGGCGGAATTTGACAGATCTAGATGCGGTAAAACGGTCGAACCGGGAAATGGAGTAGGGGAGTTACTGGTGGCTGTCTAAGCGATCGACAGAGCGTGTTGTGGTTTCAGATTGGATTGTGTTACGCGACGTCCGGCTGTTTAGTGCTGTGTGGGGATGTGTGACGCTGCGAGATTCGTGAACGTGGTGTTGTTGGTCGGTAAAGTAGCTGATACGTATCTGGCAAGGAATGCCTCGAATCAAAAATGACTTCTGGTGCCAATGAGGAAATGCAGCGCCAGGGGTGCAGCGACAGTGGTGGACTGCTTCTCTCTCCCGCTAACTGAGAGGATTACGTACAGGCCGCTGACTGCGGATATTACGTAAACGGCTTCTAAGTGAATTTTGGGTATGAGCACAACACAAAACCGTTCTCAGCTCTCTTCGCTCCTCACTTGGCTCAACACCGGGATCTATGGGACTGCTGGGCTCGATTATTGTTCTAGGAAGAACCTGCGTGATTCAAGTTTGGTGGTCAATGACTCCGAATGTTGAACCTGAGGAATCTAGGGAGGGATGTTGAACAGACGGTAAGGGCTGTCGATCGATTTGGGGTACCCGGTCAAAACCGGAGGCCCGTAATTTACAACCCTAAATTTAGCAGGTTTGGGCCGAAACTCGGCCCTTTATGCTTCAGGGATGGAAATATCCACACTTGGATTCAATAACAATGTGTCAATGTACACGAAATATAGGCAACCATTTGATTCAGAAGCAGTTAGGCTGAATGAATTGCGTTCACTTAAAGCTTAGAGCCAAGAGCTTAGAGTCAGATTCATGCTGTTTTTTGTGATTGGCACAACGACGAACTAAAAATTCGCCAGATTGGATGCAACCAGGCTGGGTGTAGACCAGATAGATCGAGGGAAAGGGGGGGGGGGGGGGGGGTTGTTCCAGGGCTCGCTGGCCCTAGACACTCAGGAATAATCCCCAAAATGCCCTGAAATAGCTCCTTCGTGGCGAACCTAGCCCTTGAATTAAAGGGCTAGCAGGGGAAACGCTCTGCAAGCGACAGCCCGGCACGGAACTCTGACGGACCGGTTTTGTCAATTGGACAGTCAGGAATTGCACGGCAATAAATGTCACATCAATGAACCAGGATTGCTTCGAGGGCAGTTCCCAAGGAGATGGGAAGGCACAATTCTCTGCCATGGCATGTAGCCGTGGCGCAAACAAGGTTGGGCAATGGGTCAGTCAGATGCCGTGTGCGCGGGAAACACATTCGTCTGCTTCCGAGCCTCCTTTGATTGGCCGCGTGAGGTGTTCGAGTTCTGGCCCTCTTGATGCTGGTACAGTGTGAATGGGGCACCCCTTTGCAGGGCGTTTTACCTGGGGAAAATATGTCAATGGTAACTTACATGGGGCATTATACCGCGTACGGTAACGATTTCAACGCGTTTGGTAACTCGCTTAACACGTTTGGTAACTCGCTTAACGCGTATGGTAACCACACACTAGCAGCCCATCACGCGAATGGTAACTAGAAGAAACCCTCGCCCAAAATGACCCTGATTCTGGTTTTTTCCCGCTCGAATTGACGAATTGACGAATCTTGAAGCAGAAACCTCTGACACACTCTCCGAGATTCTGGCACATTATTCCGAAATTCTGACACACTTTCCGAAATCCTGACACACTTTCCGATTTTCAAGCTAATTGCAAAAACGTAAGTGTTGTGAAAACAACTGTTCTTACATAACTGATATTTTGGCGCTCTTTCCGCAAACTATTTGTACTTCATTCTATCGTGCAGCCGGGGCAAACAAATCTATACCCCTTTCAGATGGCAAATGAATTTGAGAGGCGACCCTAAACTCCTTGCGAGAAGGCGTTTATGGTTCTTTTAGAAACAAATGAAAGATGTAATTCTAAAGAGGTGTATTTTTCCCACATGCAAATATTTCCCAACGTTGCAGTAATTACAAAACAAAAAATGTAAAAGCCCCGAGGTCCTTTCGGGGAGTGTTTTTTATTATCATTTTGCAAGTTCGCAATCATGCTATCAAAAATATGATTTTAACCGCTTTTGTACGAGCTACTTATATATTTAAAACGGCTCTGAAACTTTTTGGTCCGTGGTAATAGAACAAGTGGGGTCCTTCAAAGTCGCGGCGGGACTTGTTCAAAAACGATAAAACTGTGCGTAAAAACTTTCAAATTCGATAAGTTCCTCGTTGTCAGGATCATTTCGGCGGGAGTTTCACGTAGTTAGGACGTGGCCCAGACCGCCTCTGATCGCCCCGATCAGAGGCGATCAATCAATTCCAGGAAGCCCCGAGGCCAATTTCAGGCAATCAGGGGCAATCAGTTGATCGCGATCAATTGATCGCCCCAACTCGATCAACCGCCTCAAACACCCCAATCAATCACAATCACACACAATCAGTCACGATCACTTGATTGCATGGAATTGGGGATCTTGGCGACGCCCGCGAATAAGTTACAGTTTCTCGTTAAGCTCGTCAAGAAGTCGCGCATGCATCTATTAAAGTGGAATTTGCGATATTACATGGAAACATAAATTCGCTACGCCTGCGCTCTCGCCAAAATTGGGGCGAAAGGGTAAGGAAATGCTGACACGCTTGCGGGGCAGGCGCCTTGAATGTTCTAGGAATATCAGTCGTGATCGGGCGGCGCGAGCAATGCAATCACAAGCAACCCGATCAGATCCGCCCCGATCAGATCAGCGCCGATCAGGGGCGGTCTGGGCCACGTCCTTACCATTCGCGTGATGGGCTGCTAGTGTATAGTTACCATACGCGTTAAGCGAGTTACCAAACGTGTTAAGCGAGTTACCAAACGCGTTAAGCGAGTTACCAAATGCGTTGAAATCGTTACTGTACGCGTTATAGTGCCCCATGTAAGTTACCATTGACATATTTTCCCTTTTACCTGTTGAGAAATTACGAGAAAAAGGGCTATACAGTGAATATTTCCAACAATTCAGAACCTTGTTTCTGGCATAAACTCTTTACAGTTTGAATTCGTAAAAATATTAGTGTAAACAAAACTGCACAGCATGTAGCATTTCAGCAACCTTACTTCTCCACCTCCAAATCCACTTTGCATCCTTGCACAGCTTCAACCTCTCCCCTACCTAGACTCGCCTCATCGCCAGCAGCCACAGCAGCTGCTCCACCATCATCACCAGCATCAGCAGCAACATCAGCAATGTCACCATCACCATGCAGACCAGCAGCTGTGCGTTTATCTGTAACATCACCACCACCGTCACCATTAGCAGCAACAGCAGCAACAGCAGGATCAGCAGCAGCAGCAACAGCAGCAACAGCAGGATCAGCAGCAGCAGGTTCTGCGTGCTGCTGCACAAGACCATTCCCATCGTCCCCGACCTCCCCTGCCTCCGCCCTCTCAGCCTGCAGCAGCTTCACCTTCTTAAACTCATCATAATGCCGCTTCCTGTGCTCCCTGAAGCTCGGCGCCACACTCCCCATTGGCTCCTTGCCCTTCCCCTTGTCCCGCCCTGTGCTGTAGTATATGTCCGCATCTGGTGGAGAGGGAGGGAGAAACGGGGCAGGTAACAGGGGGGATTGGGCTTAGGTGGATGGGGTGGCAGCAGAAAGAAACAGGGGAAGTTTCGGGATTTCCTGAAGAGAATGTCAGCCTAGGGAGAAATCTTGGGCTGACAATTAGAGTGAAGGTCGAGATTGTAGAGGATCAGAAGTGAAGAGGGCCAGGGGCATGTACCAAGTAAGGAGGCTGGAGCAGTGCCGGCAGCAACAGCGGCAGCGAGAGTCGCCGGGTCTTTGTATGTGTGGCCTTGCTCCTCCATCCATCCTGCCCAGGGCGGACGGGTGCCATGCCATGCCGTGAGACACATGGTTGGTGCATTGGGTGTTACTTAGTAGACCAGCTGTTAGCTGCTAGTCACCCAACTCAAATTCGAAAACGACATCTTTGCAACCCTGCTCATTGAGAGATCATGGTGGCTTCATGGCATGGTGGCTTCATGGCATGGTGGCTTCATGGCATGGTGGCTTCATGGCATGTTGGCTTCATGGCATGGTGGCTTGCTGGTCTGTTGTGTTCAACGTACGTTCAAACTCAGAGTGATCCCCTTCGTCCTCCGATGAAGTCCACTCGCTCACTCGACTGCTCCCTCCCACCACCGCCGCCACTGCTGCTGCTCCTGACCCTCCTGCCCTTCCTGTGCCTGCTGTGGCTGCACCTGCCGTGCTGCTTCCAGGAAGGTGCTCTGGGTGAGGAAGTGACGGAGAGGGGAGTGGGTGGAAAGAGAGAAACAAATGGAACTGAAGCGAGGGTAGGAGACCGACACACAATTATCATTGCTCCCCTCTCCTTCAATCCCCTCCCCAATAATTCTCTCACTTGCTCCCCTCCATCACTCCCCTCCTATCCGCATTCCCCTTCGCCACTCCTCTCCGCCACTCCTCTCCGCCAGGGGGGCGCGCGCACCTTCCTCGGAGTCAGGTCCCAGGGAGTGGAAGGGCGTCTTGGGCTCGTCGATGCGCTGCCGCGGCGTGCGGTGCTCCTCCCAGTACGCCAGGTTGCCCTCGTCCCATTGCACGCGCCGCCGCCTGGGGGGAGGGGAATCGGGTGGGGGCTTGGGGGAGTGGGTGATGGGGGAAAACCGCAATCCCTGCTCTCTTCACCCCCCACGGCGTGCGGTGCTCCTCCCAGTACGCCAGGTTGCCCTCGTCCCTTTTTTTTTGGGGGGTTGTTTTTTTTTGGGGGTTGCCCTCGTCCCATTGCACGCGCCGCCGCCTGGGGGAAGGGAACGGGGAGACGGGGGGATAAGGGGAGGCGGAGGGGGAACGTGGAGGGAGGGTTGGGTTGCGGTGGGGAAGCGGGTGGGAGCTTGGGGGGGTGGGTGGTGGAGGAAAACCATAATGTAGTGTGTGATGAGGGGGAACACTGAGGCGGGAGGGGGAAGGGGAGGAGGTGGGTGGGGGTGGGGGGAGGGGGGTGGGCGCTTGAGGCGGGGTGGGTGAAGGCTGTTGATCCAGCGATGAAGTGCGTGCTGTGACCGTTGCTTCACCCTGCTCTCCCCTCTCAGCGGGGTTCGTTCATTTTCATACCATTCCTGCTTCCCTCGAGTTCACAGACCCCATGTTCATTATCTCGCATCACACCACTCTATTCCCATTCCGCATTCCCCATTCCGCGATTCCCCAATCCCCATTCCCCCTTTCCATACCGCAAGTTTCCATTCGCTTCCCCCATTCCATCACCGGTTTCCATCTCCATACCGTGCCTTCTTCTTTTTCCCCTGACCACCAATCCCCTCCTGAGATCCCGTCTTCACCTCCTCCACCGCCACCGCCGCCGCCGCACCCGCCTTTTCCCCCGGAACACGCGCCTCGGCTGCACCATCATCACCGCCGCGCGCTGCGCTACTGGTACCTAGAGCAACCGCAGCAGTAACAGCGACCTCTTCCCCCTCTTCCCGGGACCGTTTAGCAGGCGGAATCGCCGCCAGCACCGCCGCCATCTCCGCCTCGCCCTGCGTCGCCGCTCTCTCCCCCGCTTCCGCTGTGGCGGTCTCCGCCGCTGGCGGCGGAGCTTCCGCCGCACCTGCTACACCAAGGAGAGGCTTTTCTTCGTCGTCCGCCGTGTTCACTGCCCCCGCTGCCCCTGCCTCCCCCGCTATGACGTCTCTCGTCGCATCCCCGCACTCCCCGGCCGCCGCCGGACCTGCGGAAGCAGGGATTTGCTGCTCCGACCCTGATTTCCCCGTCATTTAATGCTTGAATTCTCCACTCTCCCTCTTTTCTGGTCAATTTCCGTTCCGACACGCCTTCGATTTTCAACACAAGAGATGTCCGGTTTCGGAATGATCGTTTTGCGTGACCTTTGAATGCAAGACAGGCAGCCGAATTCACGCTGCGGGAAGCGGCAAAGGAAACAAGAGATTGCTGTGTGTGGCGTTAATAGCGCGCAAATAAAGAAGGATGCTGGCGGTGCGAAATTTTCCGAGGCCACTGGCGGTAATCACGGCGAGAATGAATTATTGGTGCAAGTATATCAATCGGCGCACAATATGGGGGTTTAGGAGCGATCTTAGCATTATTGGTGATTGTGGTTGTGCTTGCACGGCAGGGGATGAGAACTGGGGAGGAAATGTGTTGGTCCGATCATCGCTAGTGAGTGCTTCACGATAACGCCGAGTTTTTTTTTCGCTGTAGGCATGAATTCTCGAAGTGGTTATCGCACGTGTGAAGATTCTAAAAAAAAGTTTTATTCGTGGTTGGTGTGAGAAAAAAGCCAACTCACAACGGCTTCCCTTACCTGTCGTGTCAGTCACAAGTTTTTCCACGTCATGCCAGGCTGGTATGCACTCATGCCAGCATAATCTGCAGCTTCGTCAGCACTGAACAAATGCCGTGGAGTGAAATTGAACATTTTCTCGACATTGGCGGCTCGGCCCCCATGGACTAGGAACCCACTAATTTTGCCCTCAAGAGTTTGGAGATAAACGCCCCAAATAGGCCGATGACCTCAAAACACGGGATCCTGACACGTTTAGACTTCTGAAAAGCTTCTTGGTTCGTTTCCCTATTTGAAGTTGTGCCACCCCAGCTAAAAACACCGACAAATTCAAATAGGAATACGAACCAGGAACCTTTTAAATCTTCTAGCAAGTGTCCCTACTTCGAACATTGAGAACACCTGTTTGACACTCTCACTGGCCGCGCTGTGTTTAGCGGCACAAAAATCGGAAGGAAATTATTACAGCTGTTCCACAAATTTCGAAGCTGATCAAAGGGTTCCGATCACATTCTAGGTGTCAACGATCCCCACCCCACCCCACCCAGCATGCATGGGACGCAAGCTGTGGATTTCCACCACACCACCTCGTGAAACGAAACTGTACCCTCCGTCGCACCATTCCTCACTGCGAACCGACCGTCGCACCTTGCTTGAATCAGCCGCCATCTAAAGGCTCCAAGGGGCACCGACCTGCTTTTTTCCTGGAAACCCGTGAGGAACGTCCTTTCGTCCCGACGCGTGCGCTCTTCGTCC